TGCAATCATTTATTGTTTGATTATTTTATGAACTAATTGCGTTAATCCAGAAATATCAAAAGGAGACTGAGAAATGTTTATATAATTATGGAAATTCCTAAATGTACTACTTTATTTTGAAAAGGAATTGCAACAGCAATTTAGAGTAAGCTGAGCCGATTCTGTGTTATTTAACTTACATTTGAGTGTCTTTGGTCATCTTTAATCTGGAATAATTGTTTAAAATCACAAAGTTTTTATCTTTTTTTTAATCTCAGTCCATATTTCTGATTGAATGTAGGACGCTCTATGATAGCCACAAACTGGGGGCTTCGTATCTAAAACGTTTACTACTTTATAGTACTACTATATAAGTATATAGACTGACAGAACATTGTTAAAGTTCTCACTGATTAGGTTTTGGAAATACAAGTCCAACCTGTCTTTGCAGATGACGTAAATGCTTCCAAAGTGTAAACATGGGGATTTTTACAGTAAAATGTGACGCGATCTTCAGCATTTCCTGCTTTGCCGATCATTTCTAGTCCCCACACACCTGTTCCTTGTTTTCTCATCAAGCCACGGCACATCCCGACCCTGTGATGCTAGAATCTGAGTATTTTCACCTGATACAGAGGCCAGCTTTCTGTTTTACTTCAGGCTTGTGTGTAACCACAGCTAAAACAAATCAAATCTTTGTAATCTCTCTGCAACTGTATGAATAGCTACAGTTAGAAATGCACACTATCTAATCTTCCTGATAGCAGGGGTCAGGGTTCAGGTATGCTTATGGTGCACCTGGAGAACTTTCAGTTTCCTTAAAAACATTTACTGCAGACAACACAAGGTGGAAAAAGTCCTCCACATGTAAATACTAATGCAGGATTAGCAGAAAAGCAAAGAGAAAGCACGGCTCTCGGCTCTTAGTAGATTTGTCTTGTAGGGGAAACGTATAGATAAGTGCCCTTGGAATAAAAGAGGCTTTGTGTGTACATGTGACAGGGGGTTAAACAGCTTTGTAATTGGTTTACTGTTTCAGGGTAGAATGCAAAGTCCATGGGTAATATCCAGTGGGTGATGAGGGGGAGGGGAGGTGTTAAGGAAATTAGTATTTAAGACATCATTTGGTTGTTGCATATTAGCTAAATGAACCGACTGTGTTTGAGAATAGAATAGAATAGAATAGAATAGAATAGAATAGAATAGAATATCCCTTTCATGTACACGTACGTTGCCGTAATGAAATAAATGTACTGAATGTATTTAAAGTGTCATCACAAACCCCAAACATAACTTTACTAAAAATGAAGGCAAATAGTTGCTTTATTTTATTTAAAATTTATGACAGTTTTCTTGCACTTTTTGATTGCAAATTGTTTCCTTTTGCTTTCTCAAAGAAAC